TCAAAGACCAATTGGTTTTCATTTGGTGGTAAATGGTAATATATATTTAAAAAAAAAAAACTGCCAAAAATATTTAAAAACTTTTTTTTTTTTTTTTTTTTTTTTAATTTAGCTGTATATTTCTTGCTATTACCATAACCTACCACCAGTGAACAGCCCAAAATAAAGTCTTTCACTCCTGACGATTGCAGTGATACCACGTATGTGTATATTATTTGTTTTTTTGTACCCATAGTAGGGCCCTGACTCTGATGCTAATTTTAAGAGACGTTCAGGATTTCAAAAAAGAAGCAAACACTCATACTTACATAGGTGCATCATTGGTCTGAAGGTACACCTGTCCCCAACCACCTCTAAGACCGAGAACTGAGCGATCCAAAACCACTGATGGCTCAGTTTTTGGTTTTCACTGAGCAGAAATGTGATATGTGACAGCTGGTTGCTGTACCAAGCAGTACTTCTGTTTAGGGCTGTATGCATTCAGTGAAGTAAGTCCTTGAATGCATATGGCTGTAAATGTACCTACCGCATCCAGCTGGCAAGTATTTCAACATGTCATAGGTTTTCTCAGGCTGCTGGACTTTCCTGAACTCTGTAATTATTATGTATGTCCTTGAACTACATAGTTGTTGGATCTAAAGGAGGTTTCTTACAGTCAGATTATAATCTGTCTGCCAAGTTTTAAAGTCAGTGGGTCATTCTAGAAACCCCACTACAGTCTTCTGAAAAGTTATTCTTTTTTTCAGAAGACTGTCAGTTATGGTGGCCCCATGATTTCTCTCATGACAGGTGTATTTGAAAGAATTCAGACTGTCCTCCTTTCACCACAGTAAATCTTCAGCCTCCCATATGATGATCTGATAATCTGGTTTGATCCTTCCATTGTACATCAGTGTATTCGACATGGTTATTAGTTGTCAGATTATGGACATTTTTCTCATAACAAGTTAGCAGTGTGTGGCAAGGAAATGCAAAAAAATTAATTTTAGGATGCTAAAATCTAATGCATGTATGCAGTTATGTTTAATTCTGATCCCTGCAGTTTAGCACCATAAGTACTATCTTAAGCCAGTGTTACTACTTCTGTCATCACACGATATTTATTTATTGCAGGCTTTATATACTGTTTTTATTACATTATACCCCATCCTCAAGCAGTTTAAAATATATGGTCTCTCTCTCCCCCTCTCTCTCCTGGGATATTGATCTGGTCAGTTAAGTAGCAGAGGCGGTTGTTAATCAGTTTCAGCTGCTTCAGTGTTAATGAAATTAACAGGTGCACCAGATGAGCAACAATGAGATGACCCCCAAAACAGGAACGGTTTTACAGGTGAAGGCCACTGACATTTTTTTTCTCTACTCATCTTTGCTGACTGTTTTCACTAATTTTGCATTTGGCTAGGGTCAGTGTCACCACTGGTAGCATCAGGTGACACCTGGATCCTACAGAGGTTTCACAGGCAGTGCAACTCCCCCAGGATGGCACATCAATACATGCCATTGCCAGAAGGTTTGTCTTCCAGCACAGTCTCAAGAGCATGGAGGAGATTACAGGAGACAGGCAGTTACTCTAGGAGAGCTGGATAGGGTCGTAGAAAGTCCTTAACCCATCAGCAGGACCGGTATCTGCTCTTTTATGCAAAGAGGAACAGGATGAGCACTGCCAGAGCCCTACAAAATGACCTCCAGCAGGCCACTGGTGTCAATATCTCTGAGCAATCGGAAACATGAGGGTGGCCTGAGGGCCTGACGTCCTCTAGTGGGCCCTGTGCTCACTGCCCAGCACTATAGAGCTCATTGGCATTTGTCATTGAACACCAGAATTGGCAAGTCTGCCACTGGCGTCCTGTGCTTTTCACAGTTGAGAGCAGGTTCACCCTGAGCACATATGACAGACATGAAAGGGTTTGGAGAAGCTGTGGAAATCATTATGCTGCCTGTAACATTGTTCAGCATGACGGTTTTGGTGGTGGGTCAGTGATGGTCTGGGGAGGCATATCCATGGAGGGATGCACAGACCTCTACAGGCTAGACAATGGCACCCTGACTGCCATTAGTAATCAGGATGAAATCCTTGGACCCATTGTCAGTCCCTACGCTTTGGGTCCTGGGTTCCTCTTGGTGCACGACAATGCCCAGCCTCATGTAGCGAGAATATGCAGGCAGTTCCTGGAGGATGAAGGAATTGATACCATTGAATGGTTTCCCACACCTTCCTGACCTAAATCCAATAGAACACCACTGGGATATCATATTTCGGTCCATCTGACGCTGCAAGGTTGCACCTCAGACTGTCCAGGAGCTCAGTGATGCCCTGGTCCAGATCTGGGAGGAAATACCCCAGGACACCATCCATTGTCCCATTAAGAGCATGCCTCAACATTGTCATGCATGCATACAAGCACATGGGGGCCATACGAACTACTGAGTAGCATTTTGAGTTGCTGCAATGAAATTTCATCAAAATGGACTAGCCTGCTGCATCATTTTTTCACTTTGATTTTTGTGGTGTCTTTGAATTCAGTCCTCTGTAGGCTGATAATTTTCATTTCCATCAAACGATGGGGCATCCTTGGTTACTAACACATTACCCAGTCCAAATCAGTATAGATATCAAGCATGATATTTTTCCCCATTGAGATCTAATGTGTTCCTTTAATTTTTTTGAGCAGTGTATATACACATACACACATACATATACAAACACACACAAACAACGGGTAAAATGAGTATTGAACACGTCACCACTTTTCTAGGTAAATAGATTTATATAGTGTTATTGACATAAAATTTTCACCACATGTCGGTAACAACCCATGCAATCCAACCAAAACAAATTAGGTTCAGAAATTAGTTTGTGTAATAAAATGGAATGACAAAGGGAAAAAGTATTGAACACGCTTACTGAAATTTATTTAATACTTTGAACAAAATGCTGTGTTGGTAATGACAACTTCAAGATGCCTCCTTTATTGAGAAACTAGTTGCACACATTGCTCAGGTGTGATTTTGGCCCATTCTTCCACATAAACAGTCTTCAAGTCTTGAAGGTTCTGTGGGCCCCTTCGGTGAACTCTGATCTTTAGTTATTTCCATAGATTTTCTATTGAATTAAAGTCAGGTGTTTGGCTGAGCCATTCTAGCAGCTTTATTTTATTTCTTTGAAACCAATTGAGCATTTCCTTTGCTTTGTGTTTGGGATCATTGTCTTGCTGAAATGTCCACCCTCGTTTCATCTTCATCATCCTAGTAGATGGCAGCAGATTTTTATCAAGAATGTCTTGGTACATTTTTCCATTCATCCTTTCTTCAATTAAGTTTGCCAGTACTGTATGGTGAAAAACCGCCCCACACCATGAAGTTCCCACCTCCAAACATCACTGTTGGGATGGTGTTTTTGGGGTGATGTGCAATGCCATTTGACCTCCAAATATGGTGTGTGTTATGGCATCCAAAGAGTTAAATTTTGGTCTCGTCTGACCAGACTATATTCTCCCAGTATTTCACCGGCTTGTCTAACTGTTGTGTAGCAAACTTTAAATGAGCTTCAACATGCTTTTTCTTCAGTAATGGAGTCTTGCGTGGTGAGCATGCAGACCATGGTGGTTGAGTACATTACTTATTGTTTGGTTTGAAACAATTGTACCTGATAATTCCAGGTCTTTCTGAAGCTTTCCACAAGTGGTCCTTGGCTCTTGGACAACTCTTCTGATAATTCTTTTCACTCTTCTGTCAGAAATCTTGCGAGGAGCACCTGTTCGTGGACGGTTTATGGTGAAATGATGTTCTTTCCACTTCTGGATTATGGCCCCAACAGTGCTCACTGGAAAATTCTGAAATTTAGAAATCCTTCTGTAACGAATGCCATCAGTATGTTTTGCAACAATAAGGTTGTGAAGGTCTTGAGAGAGCTCTTTGCTTTTACCCATCATGAGATGTTTCTTGTGTGACCCCTTGGTAATGAGACTCCCTTTTTATAGACCATCAGTTGAGACTGAACCAGCTGATATTAATTTGCACTGACAAGGGGCAGGATTGCTTTCTAATTACTGATAGATTTAAGCTGGTGTCTTGGCTTTCCATGCCTTTTTGAACCTCCCTTTCTTCATGCGATCAGTTCTTCTCCCCTGTGTCATTCCATTTTATTACACATAACTTAAATTGTTACTAAACCCAGGACCCTGCATTCATTATATCTGGTCTCCCACAGTACACAGATCTGCAATTATTTTAGTAAATATAAACGGCTAAATACCGTATTTTTTGCTCCATAAGAGGCACTTTTTTCTCCCAAAAAAGGGGAGGAAAATGTCAGTGCGTCTCATGGAGCGAATATGGAGCGGCCGGTCCGGTATTTCCGCCACCGCCACTGTGTCAGAATACTGGGCTGGCCGCTCAGCTCTTCTCTGCAGCAGGACCTTGCCTGTTCCTCGGTCCAGCAGTGCGCAGTCTTCCCACTCCAGCATCTTTAGTGTGGGCATCCAGCTGTGACAGCCAGGTGCCCACTGCGCATGCACGAGAAGTGCTGCGCTTTGTGAATGGTCCGGCGTCTTCTGAGACACATGACAGGTCCCAGAATACGCCGGGCCATTCACAAAGCGCAGTGCTACTCAAGCATGCGCAGTGGTGCCCACACTAAAGGAAGGACAAGTGGGAGTGGGTACCTGTCAAATTCAGGTACCCACTCCCCCTCCCACCCCAAAGGTCCGCAGTCTCTTGGTCATCCCTGTACTGTCTGCAGTCTCTGGTCATCTCCTGTACTGTGTCTGCAGTCTCTGGTCATCTCCTGTACTATGTCTGGTCTCTGGTCATCTCCTGTACTGTGTCTGCGGTCTCTGGTCATCTCCTGTACTGTGTCTGCGGTCTCTGGTCATCTCCTGTACTGTGTCTGCGGTCTCTGGTCATCTCCTGTACTGTGTCTGCAGTCTCTGGTCATCTCCTGTACTATGTCTGCATCTCTGGTCATCTCCTGTACTATGTCTGCAGTCTCTGGTCATCTCCTGTACTGTGTCTGCAGTCTCTGGTCATCTCCTGTACTGTGTCTGCAGTCTCTGGTCATCTCCTGTACTGTGTCTGCGGTCTCTGGTCATCCCCTGTACTGTGTCCGCAGTCTCTGGTCATCTCCTGTACAGTGTCTGCAGTCTCTGGTCATCTCCTGTACTATGTCTGCAGTCTCTGGTCATCTCCTGTACTGTGTCTGCAGTCCCTGTGTCTACTGTGTCTGCAGTCTCTGGTCATCTCCTGTACTGTGTCTGCAGTCCCTGGTCATTTCCTGTACTATGTCTGCAGTCCATTGGTTCAGAATATTTGTTTTCTTGTTTTTCTCCTCTAAAACCTAGGTGCGTCTTATGGTCAGGTGCATCTTATGGAGCGAAAATTAGGGTACCTTTTCTCATCAGCAGTTAGCAGTCTTGTGACTTCTATCAGTGTCCAGCAGAGCATTGGTTACAGCTTGTAGGAGTTTTCTTTCTTCTCTAGACTGATGCAGAACTCCTTACCTCTGTCTGGACAGTGCTGATTGGCCCTATACTGATCACATGCAAAAAACTCTATAGCTATACACAGCTGTGCAGAGTCTCCACACCATAAGTCTTATCAGGAGATAGGAAGGAGAAGATCAGAGAAGTAAGGATCAATCAGCCTTTTTACACAATGCAGAGGATTAACCCCACAGTGAGTATAACAAGCATGCTTTACTGCATACAAACTGATTTTACTGTTGTGGGTTTAGTAACACTTTTAACTATTACTTAACCCATCAAATAAAAAAACTAGCTTATACATTTATTAAACTACATATACCAAGCTTTGATGAAACATATAAATGATAATAAATAATTCATGGATGGAATAATAAATAATTCATGGATTTATATTGTGTCAACATTTTCCATAGGCTTTGGGCAACTTGCCCAATCAAAAAAGGTAGAACTGTTGGTATACTAACTGTTCCTGTGCGTTTAAATAACTAGTTTTGTTCTATAAATCATCCCATTTACCGTGACATCAAAGCATGGTGAAGTTCTTTTCAATTTAAATTAAGCGCATTATTTTTGTTTGTAAATGCAACAGTGTTTGACACCAGACGTTACAACCCTTGTATCCAAACTGTATTCCATCAGGTGGAGGTCTTCCTCCAGCCTCTCATTTCTGACCTGGTTGTTTAACACTTAGTTTTGTTACCACTGGGTGGGGTTGTAGTACTTTACATGAGGTTTGGCTGTGTATATGTGGAATGTGTCCCTTCCATTGTATATACAGCTTCACACTTTTTTTGGTGATGTTTACACATAGCATGCAGGATGTTTACACAGCGAGCAGATGTAGCTCATACCTCTGGTATACTATCTGAGTAAAGTAAAAATTTCTGTAGACATTTTTGTCAGCCGAGGATCCTGTGTGTGGTTTTTTTTTTTTTTGTTTGTTTTTGTCCAATTTTTTCCCTCATTCTGTAGGAAGACCATTATTCTATAATGTCACCTCCTAATAACAGCGTCCTTTGCCTGTTCAGACATTTTAAATGAATAAATAAATGGAATCCATAGTGTTTTAGATTTTTATGTTCTGTTACAAAAAATATTGAAAGGTAATTTTGTTTTTCTTTATATTCCATTTTTATTTGTGTGCTAACTATAATAAATGTTTAGGAAATTTTATGTTATGTATATATGTGTAATTAACTCTTTAACTGACATGGCTGTGTCATATTTGAGATGGAAATAAAGTGGAAAAGAAAAAAGGCAAACAAAAAAAAAAATCTCGTCTTGTACACCTGTATACAACGGAAACATGAAAACAACTAAAGTGATAACAAAGATCAGCACTATCTTCACTACACATTATTTTTATTATTATTATACAGGATTTATATAGCGCCAACAGTTTGCTCAGCGCTTTACAATATAACGGGAGACGATACAGCAACAATACAGTTCAATACAAGAGGGATAGGAGGGCCTAATCCTGGGAGCTTACAATCTACACATCCTTTGTATCTCTGCATGTCCTACATAAGCCTTATAGAAATAATTTCTAGGCCCTTTTTTTATATACCGGTATATATTATGAAATGGATAAGGTCATTGTGGGTTTTTTAGTATAAGTAGCACAACTTTAAAGTTTACAAATCTTAAAAAGAAAATTGTTTTGTTTTAGGTTTTTTAATCATACTTACCTTGGTGGATGCAGCATCGATCCAATGCTGCATCTGTCCCCCTCCGGCTCTAAGGGTGAGAACATCACTGATTGCTCAGTTCTGCTGCTCTGAGCAGGATTCCATGACTGTTTCTGGCTCTCTGCTCTGGTCCCCCTAGCGCTCAATGGCGCGCTGGACTGTGGAAGGGGAGGGAGCGGCTGGCTCAGGCTCTCAGCGGCTCACTGAGGGGCTGAGCCAGGTGCCGCTCTAGGCTTCTGGTTGGATCCTGCCCATATGGCCGAAATCTTTCTCTAGCCTGGACTGGCTCAGTGACGTCAACCGACAGTGGATTTTAGCCCACTCTTGACTTAAAACTGAGCACAGGAGTGCAGAGCAAACTGCACTCCTGTGTCCACAGGAGACGTACAGCCAAACAAGCTTTGGCTGTACTTCTTTAATTCAGTTCCATCCTATCATCTTATAATTAGTATCCAAATTGTGATATCTGCCAAGAAACAAAAGTAATATAGGAGGATTTACTTAATGTCCATTTGAAATGAAAATATTTTTGAGTTACTCTGTAAGGTGCCCAACAGTTAAAAGCTGTCAGTATGTATATATCTTGCATTACACACATACATACACACACACATAAATTAAGTAATGTCAAAGTGAACTCAGATCTTTGCAAAGTGAATGGGCAGCCCATGGCTAAGTGGTTGGCACTTCTGCCTAGCAGCACTAGGGCAGTCCATTTGAACCCCTGTCAGAGCACTACCTGCCTGAAATTTGCATGTTCTCCCTATGCTTCCGTAGGTTTCCTGCGAGTACTCCGGTTTCCTCCCACACTCCAAAGACATGTTGGTATGTTAGTTGGCTCCTGTTTAAATTGACCCTAGTATGTGTATGTATGAATGTGAGTTTGAAACTTTAGCTCCATGAGGGTTAGGGACTGATGTGACTATACAATATATATCTAAAATGCTGCCTAAATTGACAGCGCTATATAAGTACCTGTAATAATAGTAATTAAAATTACAATAAAAAAAAACAAAAACACAGAATGACCAACTTCAAGTATGCACCCCCCCCCCTCCTTTTTATTATGGCATAGGCACATCATTACTAGGGCACCCAATTAGAAAGAGATGGCCTGTGTGTAGTCAAGGAGATGTAAGTGATTGTTGTAGACTTGTATCTGGAAGGTCCATCTTCTGGTGAGTCAGTATTGTGTCATAGCCCACACCATGATGACAAAAGAACATTCGACAAAACTGAAAAGATTAATGAAAAGCACAAGTCAGAGGATGGATGCAGGAAAATTTCCCAGCCCCTAAATATCCCATGGAGTACAGTTAAATCCATCATTAAGAAATGGAAATAGTATTACACAGCTGTAAATCTGACAAGGACAGGCCAGCCACCAAAAGTTTGTAGCCTTGCAAGCAGGAGACTAGTGAGAGGCCGCTAAGACTTTTGATCGCTCTAGAATAGTTAGATGCCTCAGTGGCTGGGATTGAATAGACTGCATGCAACAACTGTTGCCTGGGTGCTTACAGGATAAGTTCACCTTTACACAAAAAAAATAATAAATGGACATAAAATGCTCATTTATTATTTTTTTGTGTTGGATGCCTGTAAAGCATTGCACCAGCGATCAGCAGATCACTGATGGCGTGCAGGTCTCCTGCAGACTGTCAGTGTATCAGCTTGATCGTACATTCTGTATGGGCAAGCTCATACTTGATGACAGGAAGACTCAATGAGCTACCACATCACTCACCGTGACATGGTAGTTCATTGGGGACTACAAGCCAAAAGCCATTAAGGCTGTCAGGACTTGTAGTCCATTCATTCATAAAACACTGTGAATGAATAATGCAGCTGTGTGGGCAGAACTGTTAGTTTTGAAAACTGATAGCTAGTACGGGGAACCTCTCCCTGCACTGCTGTCACGGGGGGGACATGTTACACCCATTTTTAGGATGGAACATGTAACAAGTTCCCAAAGGTGAACTTCATCTATAACTAGCTTTACAGGAGAGTGGCAAAAAGCTACTGTTCACTAAAACTCACATCAATCTTGCCTACAGTTTGCTAGATGGCATTGGAGACACACAGTATGGTCTGAGACCAAAATTTTGCTATCAAACCGAACACTTTTTATTTGCCATAAACCAGACACTGCACATAATTTCACCATCCCCACTGTGAAGCATGGTGGTGGCACCCGCAAGCTGTGGAGATGTTTCTCTGTAGTAGACCCTAGAAAGCTTTTGGGGTTTGAATGAATATGGCAAAACAAAGGGATATCTTGGAATAAAACCTGATGTAGTCTGCGAGAAACCTGAGCCTATGGAAATGGTCTGTCCAAGGTCCAATGACCTTAAGAATAAAGCCCAAATTATACAAGAATGCCATAAAAGTAACATTCAATGGCCTAGTCAGAGTTCAAATTTCAGTCCGATTTGAAAATTTGTGGCTGGGCCTGAAAAGAGCTAATCACTCACAATCCCTGTGCAACCTACAGTTGTGGCCAAAATTATTCAACCCCCACTGAAATTGAGTGTTTTGGCCAGTTTGACATTGCTTTTGATCATTCAGTCATCTTGCTTACATTTACATTAAAGAGGCACTTGTAGGTCAGACAAATATAACATAACAGTTATAATGAAATAACCACAAATGTCTTTTCTGTGCTCACAGCATTATCAGTTTTATTCAACCCCCAAGTGACATTCAATCTTAGTACTTAGTACAGCATCCTTTTACAGTTATAACAGCTTTTAAAACGTGAAGCATAGCTTGACACAAGTGTCTTGCAGCGATCTACGGGTATCTTCGCCCATTCTTCATGGGCAAAGGCCTCCAGTTCAGTCACATTCTTAGGCTTGCGCACTGCAAAGTGCTTTCTTTAAGTCCCACCAGAGGTTCTCAATCGGATTTAAGTCTGGTGACTGCGATGGCCACTCCAAAATGTTCCAGCCTTTCCTCTGCAACCATGCTCTAGTGGACTTGGAGGTATGCTTGGGATCATTGTCCTGTTGAAAGGTCCAACGTCTCCCAAGCCTCAGGTGTGTGACGGACTGCATCACGTTTCCATCCAATATCTCCTGGTACTGAAGAGAATTCATGGTACCTTGCACACGCTGAAGCTTCCCTGTACCTGCAGAAGCAAAACAGCCCCAAAGCATGATTGACCCTCCACCATGCTTCACAGTAGGCAAGGTGTTCTTTTCATCATAGGCCTTGTTCTTCCTCCTCCAAACATAGCGTT